AACCCCAGAACTAGTGGGTTTATAGCTGTAAAAACGCTCTAATGCTGCTAAATGCAGTAAAAACACGGCAAACCAGCGTTTTTTGAGTGTTTTTCTTTATTTTGCCAAAATGTTGTGTTTATTTTGCATGAAACACCTAAATACTAATGTCAAATGCTAAAAAATGCGGAAAAAATAGCGGTTTTAACGTGACTTTATACAGTTAATGCTACCAAATGCCCAGAGTGCATGAGGACTTATCAGGTGCATTTGATCTGTCTTTGACCTGCTTCTGACCCGTATTTGACCTGCTGCTTGATACTTTTGCATTTCCATAGACTTGCGTAGGGAAAGGAGCCACTTTGATGCCACCAAAAGCCTATGGACATCTTTGAAGCGCGGAGGACCCAGGCAGTATCCGCAACAGCCACTTTAGCTGCTTGAATGCTTTGTTTTGTTTTCTTTTTTTACGAAACCGCCAGTTGAAAAATGGCCGTCTGACCGCGACAAACGGAATCTCTATTCCTTCACACCTGGTAGGAAAGAGGGCGGAAGTGCAAACACATCTAAAGTCAATGCCACGAGAGGACAGACCTTCGGAGCAGCCAAAGTTAAATCCTTGTCTGCGACGGCACTCCGTGTAAATATGGGGAATGAATAACGGGGCCACTGTACGCCGCGGCTAGGTGATGAGTTTCCCAGCGCAGGTGGAAGGTTTTACGAGCGCGTTTCATACGCGACGCCGTGAAATAGATCGGTTTTAAGACCGGCTCGCTAAAATCTTCAGAGCACGGCTCTCTTTGTGAAAGGGACCTTTGTGACTTGCGTCGTGGTGCCCGCTCCGGTTCGGCCGGTGACACGTATTATCAGTTAACCCTCCGCTACACAGCCAGACGTGTCTGACCAAGATGGCGCTAGAATAGCAATTCCATCTGCAGCAGCTATAAAAGCCGTACATCAAATGCCGATATACCCAGAGCCCCCTTCCCATTCCAAGATTTCTAAATTAGACGGGACTCAAAAAAAGTTGGACGAAGAAAAGTAAAGTCTAGCAGGTTTTTTTTTTTTCTAAGCAATGGAAGTTTTGCGGTTCTACTAATTTACAGCACAACATAAATATTAAAGTAGATGTAAAGCCTAACCGAATGAGATTTAGTTGGCCAAAGTAATGTGCATTGGAGACAACGGCCTTTTTGTAGTCACTTTCTGGTTACAGCGATGGATGTATGGCATTAACGTGATATTAAAGTGATATTAAACCTCCATGGGGAGTGCAGGTGACAGGGTGAAAACACAGGAGACCAATTAGGAGACAGGAACAAAGCGTTGTCACCCTATACAGGAAGTGAACGAACAGGGGTCTTCATAGCAGGATCCCCAGGGTTTAGATTAATGATTTTTGCTACTGAATTTGCATATACGTTAATCAACATATTGTAATAAATATTAGAGAGATATTAAACCATTTTTGGCGCTATATAAATACTGTATAATAATAATCCGTGGGGCATGCAGGTGACAGGGTGACAACACAGGAGACCAATTAGGAGACAGGGACAAAGCGTTGTCACCCTATACAGGAAGTGACTGAACAGGGGCCTTCGTCATAGGATCCCCAGTGTTTATGTTAATTATTTTAGTGATTAAATTTGCATATACCGTATTTGCCGGCGTATAAGACGACTTTTTGACCCTTGAAAATCTTCTCAAAAGTCGGGGGGTCGTCTTATACGCCGGTACACATGTTTAGGGGGGCTGCGGCATTAAGTACAGGGGTTTTCAGGGGCTGATGTCTCTTACCTGGATCCAGTCCCACGACGATCCGGTCCAGGAAGCGCGGCGTCTCCTTCAGTTCGGCCACTGGATGTTCATGCGGCTGCTCGGCTCCGCCTCCTCACCGGTGATTGGCCGCCAGAACTGTAGCTCAGGAAAGGCACACAGGCGGCCAATCACCGGCGAGGGGGCCGAGCCGAGCGGCCCCGCGAAAATTGAGTGCCGGAGCAGCAGGTAAGTGTTCTGTGTAGAGGTGCTGCTGCAACCACATATGCTGGCTGCAGCAGCACCATACGAGAACAGGGTCAGCAAGTCTCAGTGGGAGGAATAGTGCCCCATCGTTGGTGTCACTGATACCAATGATGGGGCACTATTCCTCCCACTGACACCAACGATGGGGCACTATTCCTCCCCCCCACTGACACCAATGATGGGACACTATTCCCCCCCCCCACTGACACCAACGATGGGGCACTATTCCACCCCCCACTGACACCAATGATGGGGCACTATTCCCCCCCCCCACTGACACCAACGATGGGGCACTATTCCCACCCCCACTACTGACACCAATGATGGGGCACCATTCCTCCCACTGACACCAATGATGGGGCACTATTCCTCCCACTGACACCAATGATGGGGCACTATTCCTGCCACTGATACCAATGATGGGGCACCATTCCTGCCACTGATACCAATGATGGGGCACCTATTCCCCCCCACTGATACCAATGATGGGGCACTATTCCTCCCACTGATACCAATGATGGGGCACTATTCCTGCCACTGATACCAATGATGGGGCACTATTCCTCCCACTGACACCAATGATGGGGCACTATTCCTCCCACTGACACCAATGATGGGGCACTGTTCCTCCCACTGACACCAATGATGGAGCACTATTCCTCCACTGATACTAATGATGGGGGCACTATTCCTGCACTAATGCCAATGATGGGGCACTATTCCTGCCACTGATACCAATGATGGGGCACTATTCCTGCCTACTGATGGGGCATACCAATGATCAATGGGGCACTATTCCTCCCACTGGTGTGCATTGGAAGAGGGGTAGTCTTATACGGCGAGTATAGCCCAAACACTACATTTTAGCAGGAAAAGTAGGGGGGTCGTCTTATACGCCCAGTCGTCGCCCAGTCGTTATACACCGGCAAATACGGTACTTTAATATTTTGTAGCAAATATTAAAGAGATAATAACCATCCATGGGGCTTGCAGATGACAGGGTGACAACACAGGAGACCAACTAGGAGACAGGAACAAAGCGTTGTCACCCTATACAGGAAGTGACCAAACAGGGGTCTTCATGGCAGGATCCCCAGGGTTTAGATTAATGATTTTTTCTACTGAATTTGCATATACATTAATCAACATATTGTAATAAATATTAGGGAGATATTAAACCATCCATGGGGCATGCAGGTGACAGGGTGACAACACAGGAGACCAATTAGGAGACAGGGACAAAGCGTTGTCACCCTATACAGGAAGTGACTGAACAGGGGCCTGCGTCATAGGATCCCCAGTGTTTATGTTAATTATTTTAGTGATTAGATTTGCATATACTTTAATATATTAACCATCCATGGGGCTTGCAGTTGACATGGTTACAACACAGGAGACCAAGTTGGAGTTAGGGAGAGAGCGATGTCACGGTATACAGGAAGTGACCTAACAGGGGTCTTCATGGCAGGATCCCCCAGGGTTTATGTTAAGGATTTTATTGCTTAGAGTTACATATACTTTCATCAACATATTGTAACAAATTTTAAAGTGATATTAAACCTCCATGGGGTGTGCAGGTGACAGAGTGACAACACAGGAGACCAATTAGGAGACAGGAACAAAGCATTGTCACCCTATACAGGAAGTGACCAAACAGGAGTCTTCATGGCAGGGTTTAAGTTAAGGATTTTATTGCTTGGATTTACATATACTTTCATCAACATATTGTAACAAATATTAAAGTGATGGTAAACCTCCATGGGGTGTGCATGTGACAGGGTGACAACACAGGAGACCAATTAGGAGTTAGGAAGAGAGCCTTGTCACCCTACACAGGAAGTGACCGAACGGGTCCTTCGTGGCAGGATCCCCAGGGTTTATGTTAATGATTTTATTGCTTGGATTTGCATATACTTTCATCAACATATGGTAACAAATATTAAAGTGATATTTAACCTCCATGCGGAGTTCAGGTACAGGGTGACAACACGAGACCAATTAGGAGACAGGAACAAAGCGTTGTCACCCTGTACAGGAAGTGACCGGACAGGGGTCTTCATGGCAGGATCCCCAGGGATTAGGTTAAGGATTTGTGCTACTGAATTTGCATATACTTTAATCAACATATTGTAACAAATATTAAAGAGATATTAAACCATCCATGGGGCATGCAGTTCACTGGTCTCCTATGTTGTCACCCTATTAGGAGACAGGGACAGAGTGTTGTCACTCTATACAGGAAGTGACTGAACAGGGGCCTTCATGGCAGGATCCCCAGGGTTTATGTTAATGATTTTAGTGATTGGATTTGAATATACTTTAATTAACATTTTGTAACAAATATTAAAGAGATATTAAACCATCCACTGGGAATGCAGGTGGCAGGGTGACAACACAGGAGACCAATTAGGAGACAGAGACAGAGCGTTGTCACCCTATACAGGAAGTGACTGAACAGGGTCCTTTCGTGGCAGGATCACCAGAGTTGAGCATCGCTCTCCATCCACTATTATACCAGGCTTTGAAAGAGGTCGTTCTTGAAGAATGGAAAAAGATCGATGTTTCAATATGTCGCCAACTTGTTCATTCCCTGCCTAGAAGACTTGGTGCTGTCCTTACAAATCATGGAGGTCATACAAAATACTAGATGGAGGAGTTTTTGTTGTGAGGCGGATTCATTGTTGCATCCACTAATTTGAGTAAAACTGAAGATTTTGTGTAATCTAAGTTATATTATTCACCTTACTTCCATGTAATGAGCTAAATAAATAATATATAACAGCCTTTCGCAACCAGGGTGCCTAGAGGTTTCTTCAGTGGTGCCTTGGCAAAATGTCTACAAATTGTATACAAACCAACAGGTGGAGCACTACACTGGAATACTACTCAGTACCTGTGAGCAAAAGTGTATGTGCTTTGGAAGAATAAATCATCTCTAATGTTGAGGGTCCTACATGTGTGGATGTTGCTGCGTCATACAAAATTAGAATAGTTTTTCACATTTTAGAATGGGGTGTCTCAAGACTGTCCATAATTTTAAGGGGTACCTCGGGACTGTCCATAATTTTAAGGGGTACCTTCCATAATTTTAAGGGGTACCTTGGGACTGTCCATAATTTTAAGGGGTACTTGTGTCCATAATTTTAAGGTTTACCTCAGGACTGTCCATAATTTTAAAGGGTATCTCAGGACTGTCTATAATTTTAAGGGGTACCTTGGGACTGTCCATAATTTTAAGGGGTACCTCGGGACTGTCCATAATTTTAAAGGGTATCTCAGGACTGTCTATAATTTTAAGGGGTACCCTGGGACTGTCCATAATTTTAAAGGGTACCTCGGGACTGTCCATAATTTTAAAGGGTACCTCAGGACTATCCATAATTTTAAGGGGTACCTTGGGACTGTCCATAATTTTAAAGGGTATCTCAGGACTGTCTATAATTTTAAGGGGAACCTTGGGACTGTCCATAATTTTAAGGGGTACCTCGGGACTGTCCATAATTTTAAAGGGTATCTCAGGACTGTCTATAATTTTAAGGGTACCTGGGGGACTGTCCATAATTTTAAGGGGTACCTTGGGACTGTCCATAATTTTAAAGGGTAATCTCAGGACTGTCTATAATTTTAAGGGGTACCTCGGGGCTGTCCATAATTTTAAGGGGTACCTCGGGACTGTTCATAATTTTAAAGGGTACATCAAGACTGTCCTTAATTTTAAGGGGTACCCTGGGACTGTCCATAATTTTAAGGGGGTACCTCAGGACTGTCCATAATTTTAAAGGGTACCTCAGGACTATCCATAATTTTAAGGGGTACCTTGGGACTGTCCATAATTTTAAAGGGTATCTCAGGACTGTCTATAATTTTAAGGGGTACCTCGGGACTGTCCATAATTTTAAAAGGGTACCTCGGGACTGTCTATAATTTTAAGAGGTACTGGGGCTGTCCATAATTTTAAGATGTACCTCGGGGCTGTCCATAATTTTAAGATGTACCTCGGGACTGTCCATAATTTTAAAGGGTATCTCAGGACTGTCTATAATTTTGAGGGGTACCTCGGGGCTGTCCATAATTTTAAAGGGTACCTCGGGACGGTCCATAATTTTAAAGGGTACATCAAGACTGTCCATAATTTTAAGGGTGTTTTGACTGAAAAACACTGAGAAACACTGGTCTATAAAATGAGTTTTGTCAAACGTTTGGAAATTGTTCTTGTGTTCATTGATATATTGATTAAAATCTTACATTTCAAAAAGGTTCTACTCATTTATGCTGAGCACTGTGTACTGGAAATTTTTTATTTTTTTATGCTAGTAATGGTGGCAATCAGCGACTTATAGCGGGACTGCGGCGGGCATTCTGACACTGACACGGGGTGGGAACTGACTACCTGCCACTGACACCCCCAGTGACACTAATACAGTGATCAGTGCTAATTAAAAGCACTGACACTGTACTAATGACACTGGGCAGGAAGGGGTTAACATCTAGGGCAATCAAAGGGTTAACTGTGTGATAGGGGGTGTCTTTACTGTGCACTTTGTTGTGTTTTACTACGATGTGCTAGTTTTTCATCTCCCTACTTTGCAGAGGGATAAAAAGCAGCAAATCTCCACTGACAGGAGAGAGATCTGTGTTGTTCACATTCAAATATGTCTCATATAAACATAGAAAAGTGATGGCAGAAAAAAGACCGAGTGGTCCATTGAATCTGCCCTTTTTTTTTTGCTTTGTTTTTTTTGACAGTGTAGCTACCTTGTCAGCTGGTCTGCCAATCACCGAGTCTCGGCCATGAATCGAATTGTGGGCTGGGACCCGCAGATTGACATCTTTGTTAGCCAATGACAGTGCAGATAGGGCTGCATGCACGCGCGTGCGTCCCCTACCTAGAAATGCAAAATCACGGTATATTTACATAATTTTGCGTAGAGCAGTCACCTGAGTGGGAATAGAAATGTAACACTCACCCCAGAAAGAACCTCTGATTTCCACAGGTTTCTCCTTTAAAAAAATGGCGCGGGGTTCCCCCCAAATTCATACCAAACCCTTATCTGAGCATGCAGCCCAGCAGGTCAGAATAGGAGGGGGAGGAGCGAGCACCTCCCTCCTGAACCACACCAGGCCACATGCCCTCAACATATTGATGGGGACAAGGGCCTCTTCCCCACAACCATGGCCAGTGGTTGTGGGGGTCTGCGGGCAGGGACTTATCAAAATCTGAAAGCCCCTTTTAAGAAGGGGTACCCCAGATCCTGGCCCCCCTATGTGAATGAATATGGGGTACATGGGTACCACTACCCATTCACAAAAAAGTGGAAAAATGACAGACTTTCTTTGGCAAGTCCTTTATTAAAAACAAAAAAAAAAATGCCCCCTGAAGTAGATCCAACGTCTATCCAACGTCTATCACGATGACCGCCGCCCCGAAAACTGACCTGCTGACGCTGGCTCCTGACCATCTGACAGCTGCTCCGGGATCACAGTTCATAAATAGTATGATGACGTCACACAAGGGGGCAGGGTCACCCCACCCCGTTATGACATCATCATGCGCTCTGATTGACCAAAGCATTGCACCTGATCTATGGTCAGGTGCATTACTTTGGCCAATCACAATGGCACTGTCAGGGTGCAGTGCATTGTGGGGCGTGGCGGACAAACAGCCCACCGAGCTGCCCTTGCCGTTTGTGTGTTCACCAAACACATGAACACAGCCAGGGGCGGACTGACCATTTGGAAACTCGGGCACTGCCTGAGGACCCAGGGTCAGTAGGGGGCCCCATGAGATGCCCCTGGTACCTTTTCATAGGCTTTTTTGAGTTTGGAATGGACACAGGGGCCCCATGATCCCCTATTGCCCGGGGGCCTCATGAGTTGTCAGTCTGCCCTGAACACAGCCCATCTTTATGTGTGAACAAGTCCTTACCTTAAGTGTCCTCTGGCCTATCCCAAACACCATACATTTGCATAACTTTCAGTACAGCCTCCTAATATTTTTATTAGACAGGATTTATATAGCGCCAACAGTGTCTGCAGTGCTGTACAAAATAAAGCGAGACGGTGCAGTCACAATAGAAATCAATGGAGGACTAGGATTGCGTCATGTTGGAAAACAGAATGGAATGAGCCTGACTCTATCTGAATGGATGTTGCATTAATATTCGAAGCCGGTCTCGGTCCTAAGGGGAAGAAGGACTTTTCATATCTGCAACGCTGAATGATCGCATGACCATAAGGATTCTGCATGTGGTAAAACTATTTGTGAGGAGATCATAAACTTGTTGGCAGAGCTGAAAGACATTAACACAATGGCCTGACTATAGCTTGGCTCTATTTTGTCTTGAAAGAACAGGTGTAGGCAGCTGAAAAAAAAAAAAAAACATAAAAATATTACGACACCAAAAAAATGATTTTGTCGTGTTTGCAGTCTGCTATATCATTCACGGCGACACAGTTCCTGAGGAATGAAAATGGATTCACAAGCCTGACATCATGCACCAATTTTCCATCACCGTAGGAAGGGTTATAAAAGGACAAGGAGCTCCAAAGAACTTCACAAGTTCTTCAAGACCAACCAGTCTTTCTCCAACGTCTGAACACGAAGGAACCCTTGAAATAACTTTCAGGGAACCCCTGCTAATTGTAGCTACAGCATGCCCAGTAAGTTGAGATATGAGGGCTGCTCTGTACGCCATTATTCTCAGTAATATTGATGAAATGCAACACTAATATTTATTGACCGGAAAAGAAAGCCAGACAGTGAAATTTGTAGTGTTCCTTCACATTGATGGGAAGCATGCTCCTTACATTGGTGATCAGTGGGAAGAATGCTCCTTACATTGGTGATCAGTGGAAAGAATGTATCTTACATTGGTGTCAGTGAGAAGAATGCCCCCTTACATTGGTGCTCAGTGAGAAGAATGCCCCCTTACACTGGTGATCAGTGGGAAGAATGCCCCTTACATTGGTGCTCAGTGAGAAGAATGCCCCCTTACATTGGTGATCAGTGGGAAGAAGATGCCCCTTACATTGGTGCTCAGTGAGAAGAATGCCCCCTTACATTGGTGATCAGTGGGAAGAATGTTCCTTACATTGGTGATCAGTGGGAAGAATGTCCCTTACATTGGTGATCAGTGAGAAGAATGCCCCCTTACATTGGTGCTCAGTGAGAAGAATGCTCCTTACATTGGTGATCAGTGAGAAGAATGCCCCTTACATTGGTGATTAGTGGGAAGAATGTCCCCTTACATTGGTGATCAGTGAGAAGAATGCCCCCTTACATTGGTGATCAGTGGGAAGAATGATCCTTACATTGGTGGTCAGTAGAAGAATGCTCCTTACATTGGTGATCAGTGGGAAGAATGCTCCTTACATTGGTGATCAGTGGGAAGAAGAATGCTCCTTACATTGGTGGTCAGAGGGAAGAATGTCCCTTACATTGGTGATCAGTGAGAAGAATGCTCCTTACATTGGTGATCAGTGAGAAAGAATGCTACCTTACAATGGTGGTCAGTGGGAAGAATGCCCCTTACATTGGTGATCAGTGAGAAGAATGCTCCTTACATTGGTGGTCAGAGGAGAAGAATGCTCCTTACATTAGTGATCAGTCAGAAGAAAGCCCCTTATATTGGTGATTAGTGGGAAGAATGCCCATTGCATTAGTGGTCAGTGGAAAGAATGTACCTTACATTGGTGATCAGTGAGAAGAATGCCCCTTACATTGGTGGTCAATGGGAAGAATGTCCCTTACATTGGTGGTCAGTGAGAAGAAAGCCCCTTACATTGGTGATCAGTGGGAAGAATGTCCCTTACATTGGTGGTCAGAGGGAAGAATGTCCCTTACATTGGTAGTCAGAGGGAAGAATGTCCCTTACATTAGTGGTCAGTGGGAAGAATGTCCCTTACATTGGTGATCAGTGGGAAGAATGTCCCTTACATTAGTGGTCAATGGGAAGAATGTCCCTTACATTGGTGGTCAGTGGGAAGAATGCCCCTTACATTGGTGGTCAGTGAGAAGAAAGCCCCTTACATTAGTGGTCAGTGGGAAGAATGCTCCTTACATTGGTGGTCAGTGGGAAGAATGCTCTTTACATTAGTGGTCAGTGGGAAGAATGCTCCTTACATTGGAGGTTAGTGGTTAAAGTGCCTATATTGGTGGCCGTTACCAATGTTCAATTGCAGGTGTACCTAGTAAAGTGGCCAGTGAGTGTATGTACTACGCAAAGCCATAAATAAATAAATAAATAAAAAATATATATATATATATATCTCTATCAGTAACTAAATCATGGGAATCTCCAGTTACCCAACAAGAAGTATACTTTTTTTTATGGGGTAATTTCTAGATGTGAAGTGTGGCCCAGCAATCTCTGATCTGGAGTTGAATCCTTGCATTAGAAATTATACCATAATCCAACAGGATTCCCTATGCTGCCATTCAGAAAAATGAACAGTGATTTTCACTGCTTTGCTCACTCTTTGGCTGTAAGTCAGAAAGTAAAGATGAGAAGTCTGTAAACTAACTAACAGGGAGTATTGCATCAGAATTTAAATTCCTTTTCAGTAATGAAAATATGGGAATCATCCATGACCCAAGAGAAAGTGTACTTTAATTACTTTAGTTGTGAATGGTGACCCCGCAATTGCTGATCTGGGATGGACTCCTTAGAAAGTACGAGGGACGTTCAAGTCAAACCAGGACTTTTAATTTTATAGATATAAAAAGGGATGCTAGCATGGTGGTACTACACGCAGTAGTAAGTGGCAAGTGTGTCCTATTACTGATAGGTGGAGAACATGTCGTGGGCCAGTCCTGAGGCCATTAATCAAGATGGCAGACCACAGTATTAGGGCGTGCATGGAACAGCGTGTGGTGATGAAGTTTCTTGTGAACGAAGGCGTAAAACCCCATTGATATCTACAGAA